CCCTTTGCTTTCATTTTCAGGTACCTGCTGTCTCCCATCACCACACACCCAACATCCAGACATTCCAAATGCCCTCGGACAAAGCCTATCCATGCAAAGGTCTCCATGGAACTACCAGCCAGTGGGCTTTCCACCTCTGCCATGAGGTAGTCAGAAAATCTAAATATTTGTAGCTTTTTTCATTGCCAACGTTACAATTGAGTTGTCTTGTATCTGTTTCAGAGATCAGCTACTAACTGTTATGAATTTCGTTCCTGTATTTGCAGCTTAAGACTCAATAACCCAAATTTTTGTCTCGACTCTCCTTTTCCCTGCAGGTTTTCACATACATTCATTATAGGAAGAAGATCCAAATTCCTATTACTTTAACATAGCTTTTAACCTGACGGATGCATTTGTGTACTAAATTAATTCTTCTGACTGCTAACAAAAACGGAAATCAATACAAATTCAATACTACAAGTCTTCTTCTTAAAGGGAAAAGATAGGTTAATCTATCTAGATTGCTCAAAAGAAGCTTGAAAGGTGGTTTGATCGCACTGGAGAGGAGAAGGCTCTGGTTAATCACAGCAGTTACTTCTGGCCTAAAATATAAAAGCTTAAAAAAAACTATCAGTGAGTCTTTTCCCAAAAGCAGACATTTTCAAGATACTTAGGGTTTGGCAGCTCATTTTAAAGGCAGCAGGGAATTTTCCTGCTAATCAGTACACTTCAAAGTCAGCCTTCAAGTCTTGCTTTCAATAGATCTTTTTGACAGAACCTGACATACATTATACTCCAATAGCTTTACAGCTTGTTGATAAAAAAGTCAAAATCCTTTATTCTGCTGCCTTATTCCTGGTCTGCCCAGCAGTGCCTACATTTGTGCCACAGGAGATAACGAGGGGATTTCTGCTGCACCTCTCCAGCTGCTGAGATGAATCCCTTGGGCTCTCTGCAGCGAGCAGGGATTAAGATAACATTTTGTAATAATGCAGAAGCTAAGCAAGAAATCCAGGCTGTCCCAGAGCTCCCAAGGCAACCATCTCAGCAATGTGGGAGATTTTTCAGCAACACCATGACAGAAATAAAGATTGCATGAATAATTGCCATTACTCAGGAAAAAGTGGATCATTTACTGTGGAAACAGTGGTTGCTCAGAGAGGCACCGGACGGATGGATCTGATGTGATCTAAACAGGCGAGTGGTACTGCAAGTCCAAGTTCTGCTCCCTTATCCCACAAAAAGTGAGGATTAACTACTGACATCAGTGGAGTATTTCTGGAAGAAAAAACACTCTAAGAGCAAGGTTGAGGGCCAAATGTACCACTAACGAACAACGGGGTGTATTAAAAAGGTTGGCCCTGATGCAAGTCTACTGAAACAAATACCCCCACCTTGCTTTTCCTTACAACTGCCATCAGAGCCAGTCACAGCAGAGAGCTCTGCCTGGAGATGGCCACCTATAATACCAGAAATTCACGTTTGGCTGCTGCTAACAATACTGCAATGGCAAGAACAGCCTGGACAGTGATCAAGCATTAAGGCCAGAAGGATCTGTTCCACAGGCTGGGGAACCGCTTTCACACCTTTTACAGAGCACAGTAATTAGTGTTTACTGAAAGTTGGTTTAGCAACATCTAAGGAAACTCACTGCTTCAAAAAACATTCGCTCCACTACTAACTTACCCTTCTTAAACAAGGGTATTTAAAGCCAGGCAAATTCAAGCTAAATATAGCTCCATCTACTAACAGCCCAGTAATTGCAATAGTCTGCCAGTTCCCTGCCCAGAGAGGCTGCAGCACAAATAAGAACTACACTGTAAAACTGGCACTGCCCAAGGGTCAGAATGATCTTGCTAATCAATCCATTGTTCAACACTTAATCCTCAAACAGCCCAAACAGATGATTTATTACTGGTCTCAACCTGAAACAAAAGTACCCAAAGGGTACATATACATCTTATGTGTGGGTTGAAGAGCTATAATTAAAGACTGATGCTTAAGCAAGCAAGAAAGCACTGGGCTTTTCAAGTTCAGCACTGCTGAGCAAATAAAAGTGCCATTCCCTGACTGGCTACAGTTCAGTAAACAAATAAACCTCAGATGACTTTTTCCAGTTGTGAAAAAGAGTAACTATAGCACATGGCTGCAGTAATTAGTGACAGATGAGCTATTTTTGTCAAATCAGAGGGTCATGCACCTTTTCCCAAAGCCTGAACTGGCCTCAAGGTGTCACTGGATACAGATACAACAGGAACCTGAGAGGCCTGAAGGAACACAGTGTCCAACCACATCTGACCCGAAATTTAGACTGCATGTGAATAAGTTTACAAGCTTTACACCATTAAAAAGGTTTTGCTGTTGTGCACAGATGAAGGACAAATACCTCTAACCACAGCGTTCAGAGCAAAATCATGGAAGTTAAAATTCCAATCAACTGCAATGGCATTTTACAGAATCACACAATTGGCAAGGTTGGAAGGGACCACAGTGAGTTACCTGGTCCAATCTCTCTGTTCAAGCAGGATTATCCAGAGCACATGGCACAGGATTGTGTCCAGATGGTTCTGGAATATCCAGTGAGGGGAATTCCACACCCTCTCTGATCTCTGTTCCAGTGCTTGGTCACTGCACAGAAAAGTTCTTCCTCAAATTCAGGTGGAACTTCCTGTGCATCAGTATCAATTTGATATTGATATACCCCCCTTGGGAGAACAAAACCAAAAAATAATCTGCTTTATAGTGCAGAATATGTTAGAAAATGTGACTATGTAATCAGCATCATCCTGCCTTCAGGATACAAATGGGACACCTGACCTGGGGGTCAGGGAGGGGGGATGCTGTTGGGTTTATAATTTTGACCTGATGGCATTCACAGATGTTCTAAAAATACATTCACATAGTGCTATTGGCCTCAACAAAACCATTGAAACTGGAGCCAGAGAAGGAGGCAGTGCTGTCAGGGGGCTCACTCCTGGAAGCACATCCACAGGGGATTTCAGCAGCATCCTCACTGTGGGGCAGGAGGTGAAAGAGGGCTCCATATTCCAAACTATGCTTTCCCCCAGAAATGAGATTTAACTTTGGGAGAACATAATCCTACAGACCCTGCTTGTGTAGTCACATACTTGGCCATGCAAACAGTGATGTAAATCTGTGGGAAAAAAATGGGATGTCCCATTAATTGTGACACCTTGTGAAGAAGGGCACTTTGGCAGGCAGTATGGAACTGCTCCAAAACAAGCTCCTGCACACCAAGGGATGTCTCACACAACACTGACATTATTAAGCTGTTTCTATACAGATAATTTGGGAAACAGGTAGAATTCCAACTTTAGTGATTCCCTCTCCTCAGTTGCAATTAGAACTGGACTCTCAGCCTATGGCATTTAGAGAAATACCAATTTTCAGCCCATGAAGGAACAGTTACAGCTTTCACCTCTCAAATATATTTATTCATTAAATGCTCCTGGTCAGTTTAAGTTTGGGGTTTTAAAAATAGAAGTTCCGTGCCCATCCCCATCCTGTACCATTACCTGGTTCTCTGTAAGGCCCCACTCCCACCAGTTATTTTTAAATAAAACACGAGGTGTCACAAAACACAAGGTAAAACAAGGATATGTGTCAGCAGCTGAAAATAAATACCATACTTCAAACACCCTTTAATAAACAGCAGATGAAACAGATTTTTTTTCATGGTGCTATTGCCCAGGCAAGACTTCTGCTGGATTTCCAGGGATTTTGGAGGAAGTTTGTATAAGGTCTCATCCTAGACCTTCTATAAATCCACAGTTGTAACAGACTTTTTTAACATGCGTGTTTGTACACGTGAGAGGAGGGTAGGGTGCCAGGTTGAGGCAAGTTTTCTTAAATTTTCAGGTGTTATGGAAAAATCCAAACATTTCATTAATACAATTTCCCTGTTAACAGTGTAGCAAATGAAAAGAAAAAATCCAGTTGAATTAAATGTGATCCTGAAGAGTGATGGGAATGGAACTCTTTTTAAATCCATGGCAGCAAATTCAGGTGCACAGCAGGTTGCTTTCTCCATGCTGCAAAATGCACAACTTGGCCCCTTTCCTTCAGAGGGAACAGAGGTACCTGTGTAAAGATTCACAGTTGCAAAGGACACCCACTGAACACTGACCAACACCTTCACCCAACACTACCTATCCTGTGCCAGTCTTTTATCTGTTTTTTTAAAACACAGAAAAAAAATCAGGTGTGCAACACCACAATGCAATAATCCCCTCAAGTATGAGGAGCACTGAGGTAGCTCTGATAATACTTGAAGAAGGACATTCAGGGGCTTGGGGGAGATGCTACTGATGTAAAAAGGTTTAACAGAGACAACCCCAAGATACATGTAACTTCCCGGGGGAGAAAGAAAGAAAAAACTCTCTCAGTGCTTCAAGGAGAGAAAGAAGCTACAGCAGAGAAGGAAGCTACAGCACAGAAGATGTTCCTTGACACCAAGTAGCAGACTTAGGGATAATGGTCTTTTTAGATCTATGTTACAGCAGCACATAAGCCCAATTTTACCTCTAATTGATTAAAGCTCTCCACTGTGTAAAAATACAGTATAGACTCTTGTAACAAGACCACAGTTTACAAGAAAAGAAGAGAGGAGAGCCAGCAACAGAGTCCTGAGGAAAAGAAGTGTCTCATGGTCCAGAGCAGAGCTCTGCCCTCCACCCTCTCCCACCAGGACATCTGGCTGTGGGTTTTTCCATGGTACATATCACACACCCCACATTACTCAGTTCATCTGCCAGGGCATTTTAATCCCTCTTCAGTAAAGGTGTATTGATGACATTAAACTCTATTATTTTTATTAAAACTTCTATATCTCAAATGTATGTGAAGCCACATGGGGGTAAGTGATTTCTGACTCGAGTAATGCCAGTGAATACTACAGGGCATTTATCTACATGTTTGGTAGAGAAGGATAAGTACCACTTATTAGTAATAATGACAAAACTTTATTTCCATTTGAAACCATCAAGTCATCCTGACAACAGACAATAATGTTTCTATCAAAGCCTTCATTAGGAAGGGTTTCTCAGACCAAGGACAGATTTTCTACTGAAACCAGATACTCCATCTCACATGGAAAAACCATTTCCTTGCTTAGGACATTGCTCAGGAGATGTCCATCAACTGTTGATTCAACTCTGAAGAATATTCCAAGCTTGCTTTCCCACATTTAAAGAAGGAAACTGATTTATTTGCAGAGTCCTCTTTATTATTTGTCTCTGTCATTGCCTTGTAGGACAGGAAAAAGAACAAAAATTCTGTCCTAACAGACTAGAAAAGGGCTTTGTACAATTGCTCTGACACACAGGTACAGAGATGGAGAGAACAGCTGTAATGCAGCAATAAAGTTATGTTATCCATCAGTCTGAGAGGACAAATGGAAATGATGAACACAGTGACACCAAATAGAATCGGTTTTGTTCAAAAGACAGCCAAAAGTAGCTAGATAATGCTCAACATTTGTACATATTAAAAATTAAATAATTTTAGAACAGTTCCACATACTGTACAGTTCCATATTGCACTGACATAAAAAAAAAAAAAAAGAAAGAAATTGAAGCACTGAAATGGCAAATGAGGACAAACTCTCCTCACAGCAGTTTTCACAAAGGTGAGAAACAAGCTTGATGTATCAGCATGTTTCCTCCAAGGGTTGCAGCAACACTGATGGTTTCCTGCTCCTGACAGCAGGTTCGAGGCCTTTTCTCTTCTGGTTTTCATGATGCTTCCTGTGGTTGTGCTCCCAGACAGTGCTGTCCATGCTCCGAGCTGGTCAGACACTTCAGCTCACCTCAAACCAGGACTTCTGTGCAAGAAGTGCTCGTTTTCTTCTCGCTGGTCAGATCCACTGAAGACAACTGTCCACTGCTAGGACTAGGGAGAAAAAAAAAATCAGCAGGTCAGATTACAGATATCATTCATGGAGGGGGAGGGTCCACTTCAACCAGGAGGTGCTTCAGCATCCTGTGAGAAATGTCACAGGATGGTCAACTTCAAATCTGACCCAGAAGAAAGGCTCCTCTGAGTCTGGGGAAACATGAAACAAGTCTGCATACCCTTCTAGATGTATTATATCTCCACCATTAAACCCCCAGACACAGAGTCCCATTTTGGGCCTCTCACTACAAGAAGGACATTGAGGTGCTGGAGCAAATCCAGAGAAAGGCAACGGAGCTGGGGAAGGGTCTGGAGTGCATGTCCATGTGAGGGGCAGCTGAGGGAGCTGGGGGGGCTCAGCCTGGAGAAAAGAAGGATTAGGAGGCCTTATTGCTCTCTACAACTCCCTGAAAGCAGATTGGCTAGCCAGGCAGGGGTCGGTCTCTTCTCCCAAGTAACAAGTCATAAGACAAGAGGAAATGGCTTCAAGTTGTGCCTGGGGAGGTTTAGATGGGATATTAGGAACAATTTCTTCACTGAAAGGATTGACAAGCATTGGAACAGGTTGCCCAGGGCAGTGGTGGAGTCACCATCCCTGGAGGGATTTCAAAGACACATGGATGTGGCACTGAGGAACATGGTTTAGTGGTGGACTTGGCAGTGTTGGGTAATGGTTGGACTCAGTGATCTCAGAGGTCTTCTCCAAGCTAAACAATTCTATGATTCTGTGATTTTGAAACTCCCTGAAATGAGACTACTTTTTTTTAAATAACAATTATTTCAGGTGTGACCAACTTTTTCAGCTCTCATGAGTCAAACTCCATGCTTACACCCAAGTTTACAAAAGTGGATGACTAATATTTTCCCCCTCTGTTATACCATTATAAACACCTACACATGGTTTCTTCCACCCAGGTGAGTGACAACATCAACCCAAATTCTTAGGCACATGCAGTCACAGTTTCCACACCAAGTTTTGCCCAGTGAGATCACTTAATACTTTTATCAAACGTTGCTGAGTCACGGGACTAGTGAAATTTAGACCTGTTGTTTCCAGAATGTTATACTGGTGGTGACTTGAGAAAAACTTTAACTTTCAAACTTTCAGTCCTGACCTAAAGCCTGATAAGATGTGAAACACCTTCACTGTTGTTTGGATCCTCAATCTGTATAAGCAAGAAATGTAATCTCAGTTTGGGGCAGCCACAAACACATCCTTTCTTTTTCCTCTGCTGGGTAGGAAAACTCTTCAGCAGAAATTTGAGGCTTGGTGGTTTTGTTTGTTATTGGGTTTGGGGTTTGTTTTTTTACTTTTTTTCACTGGTTAGTTGTTTTGTTCTTTTTTTTTTTTTTAAGAGAAAACCTTCTGCAATGCATTTAAACTTAGCACATAGGGCTGGATGCAACTGAAAACTAAATTGGAGAGGTAGGATGCAGAGGAGTTAGAAGTTCCACAAACATGCAGCCTCTCCTGCCCCAAACAACCCAAATGCTGATATCAGAAGGGAGCCATCGTTTCCACAACCCCTCTATTTCCCCTCATAAATCAAGTATGTTTGCACACACTGTTAGTGAAAGACCCTCTGCAGCTTTCAATACTAGAATCACAAATGGATAAAAGCAAGGAAATTATTTTTTCGAAGTCCAGACTGAACTGACACAGTTTCTTTTGGCAGACAGCAGGAGTACTGTAGATAATTCTTGTGAGACCGCTAAAGAGGATTCCCTTTCATAAACACAGTGTAAAACCACTAAAGCCTTGGCACCAAAAGAAATCTGAGAACAACAGACAAAAGTTTTCCAGTACAGGTAGGAAGCACCAACTCAGTGATACCAACACATCAATTCTGACAAGGTTTTCCTAGGAAGCTGCTGAAACACAGTTGTTTCCTTAAGGTTTAAACATTTGCTTTTAAGGAACTGCCCTGATTTTTAAAAAGCCCTCAAGCTCTCATGAGTACACAACATCAACTGGCACCAAACACACTGTCTGGGCTCTGAATGGTTTCCATCCATCTGCTGAAAGCAGAACGATCCTCTGACATCCTAAAGCAGCCCTGCTGGCATACAGATCCACATTTTTGTGAAGGAAGCAACCAGGTCATTACATTGGGATTTTGGACTCCTAATTCTGTTCCTTCCTTATTCAGTAACCTTAAAGTAAATCTAATTTACAGATAGGGGGGGAAATGTCATTGGCATTGTGTATCTAAAGGGTTTGGACATGTACAGGTGAAGAGATTAGAATAAAATACCATTTTTAATTTTGTAACAACAGCAGTAGGTCACGTAGCAGTAACAAAAAAAGATCAATGGTCACTTCTGATATTTAGGAGCTTAATATCCTCAACATGCTTTTGAGATACATGTATTTCCTTCAGCAAGCATTTGCCTTAGAAAAATGTTAAACTAGGTAAGATGCAGTGGATGGTTCCATTCTTTTCACGTACAAATAAGAAGGTGTGTAAATTGGTAAATTAAGACAGTAACAGGAAAATAAAATAATCTTTACCTTTTCTAGACCCCACTTCCGTCTTGATGAAAGGCAGTTCATCCTTAAGGCTTCTCTTGTCTGTAGATTTAAATTAAAAAATTAAAGGGAACGGTTTCTCAGGGAGTAGAAAATGTTCATATAATCCAGAATAAGTACCTTTCTGTCCAGAAGTGTCCCAAACAACAGGATGAAGAATCCCTAAGAAATTGCAAAACCAGTTAACAAAACCAGCATAGCCACATGATGTTTCTTAAGTGCTTCTAGGTGTCATTTCCGTAAGGATAGACCTCATCTGCTGTCATTCAGGTAACAGCAATGCACAAAATGGGTTTATCCACCCGGGACATATGGGCTGTCTGGGAACATTAGGAATGGATATACAACCTGTGTTAATTCTCACTACAAACTGGACTGATGGGTTACATACCAGGACTTTCTCAGCCCACTCAGTTACAATCTGAATCAAGAAGAGCTAAGACAGACCAGATGTACAACAGTGTGTCAGGTAACACTGGATGTTAACACCAATCAGTTATTCAAAACCATAGAATCAGTCATGGAATAGTTTGGGTTGGAAGGGACCTTAAAGACCATGTTGTTCCAACCCCCCTGCCATGGGCAGGGATACCTCCCACCAGACCAGGTTGCTCAAAGCCCCATCCAACCTGGCCTTGAACACTTCCAGGGATGGGGCATCCACAGCTTTCCTGGGCAACCTGTGCCAGGGCCATCTTCAACAGCAAATGAGAATTTTCTGTGTATTCGTTAATTGATAAGGATGAGACATCTTTGCAGTTACTGGACATTAACTGGTGTATTTTATGTTTAACAGAAATTCATCTTCTTAATTGTTCAACACACTTTAAACCAACTATTTTGCCCTGTTACCCATCTACCTTTATTACTCTAATGCAGGATGCCTCGTGCATGTATTATGTAAAGGGGTTGAGTCAAAAGGAAGGCTTAGATCCTATTTTTCATGCACAATACGTGCTGCCAGTCCCTCTTTGACCTGATACCTTTATCCCAGGCTCAAAATCTGAGCACATACTATTCCTGGTCTCCCAGAGTTTACCTGGAAAGCATTCAGCAGCGCGAATGTGATGTGGAACGCCAGGGATCGGCTGTCAAGAATCGTGGCCAATCCAAACCCCCAGGTGAGACCCAGAAGAGGGGTCAGAAGGGCAACATTTTTGCTGATTCGGATCATGCTGCTCAAATCTTGTGACTTGCAGCCTTCTCCAACAGAGGATCTCCCAGTCTTCACCACAACCACCACCACCACCACCAGATTCACCACAATGATGCTCAGAGCAGGCACAACAAAGGCCAAAAGGGCTTTTGTCTCATACCAATTGAGCCAGCAGGCTCCACTCCTTAAATATCCATTCTTTGGTTCAGTGATGGCAACAGTGAGGACAGATATGACCAAGGGACATCCATATCCAATAGAGAATGCTGCAGCCAGGAACACAGATCTCGTTACCTTAAAAAAAATTAATAATAATCCATAGAGAATCAAGAGGCCCAGTGTAAACATCCAAAAAAACAAGGCAAGGTAGAAAAAGTGAAGGAAAAAAGTGGTTGCTACACACAACTGGTAGTTCAGGGCTGTATTGTGCACAATAGCTGCCAGGATGAACAAAACATCAGCAACGAGCAGCGACACAGCGATGTTGACCAAACAGAAGTGGCGCATGTAGGTTATTTCAGTTTTTGTGACGTGGTGCCAGACAACAGCCTCAATGACAAGGCAGAGAACCAGGCTGAGAATGGAAAGGCCTAAGCCCACCCTAGTGATGTAGTCCAGTGCCACGCTCCGCGGCGTTGCGGGGGACATCAGAATGGAGAAGGACTTGTAGGTCCGGCGCTGGTGGGAGCAGACACAAACCACGCTGCTGACGGTGTCCGACTGCGTCCTGCACGCCCGGCTGTCCCAGCGCCGCTCAGCAGAGTGCCACCCCACACACTGGGCCTCCACCTGCTCCAGCTTATTCACCTTCTCAAAGGTGAGCGAAACCCGCTGGAGCTCCTCCGGCAGAGCCACCGACAACACCATCCCGTTCACAAACCCGGGGTCTGACCGGGCGCTCTCCATGACGGCCCCGAGCGTTGGGAACGCGATGCTGATGGCCTTGGAAGCTCTGGGCAACTTCAGAAGCTCTTCTTCTGGGATCACCACGTGCCCAGTGATGTTGCCTGTGTTGTTGAACTCCATAGAAAAATCAAAGCTCGTTCCTGAAGTGTTTCTGTGTATGCTGTAGCCTTTCGTAGCGATGAAGGGCTCCTGCACACTTTCCGACCCGTTCCTTAGAAGGAGCTTCCCAGCAAATAAATTCACTGAGTCCAGTAATTCTGAACCAGCATTTCTGTCCCTTACAAAAGCCCAGTTGGAAATGATGGAGCTGTTCAGAATATGGTTTGCTATCCTGCTGTAGCTCTGAAACAAACATGAAAACTATAATTTATTTTTTTTATATTAGAAGAAACCAAATATTATTCCACTGGCAGAGCTTCCCAAAAGGCTCATTTAATTCATGAGTGATTTTTACAAAGGAAATATTCCTTCTGATGCTGAACATGCTCCCCATGATCCATCCCAGTCAAATCTAAACATCTCATTACTAGAATTGTCCTATCCTCTTCATATCATAGATCAAAAGGTGATTGGAGAAGTAAACATAAAGCAAAAAATCAGGACACTCTAGTTCTATTCCAGACACTGGCCCACTGTGCAGATCTGATTTACGTCACCCTTCCTGTATTTCTTCCCCCACCTCTCTGATTTCTGAGTTCATCAGGAAAAGATACCAGTTTCTGTTGTGCAACACATGACAACACAGCTGCAGGTCAGCATCTCCAAAGCTGCCTTCCCTATAGTGTCATACTTCAAAAATTAATTCTTCCTTGTACTGCTATTCCAGAGCTACAACAGCAGGTCCTGAAAACTTTTGCTTTTAAAGAAATTTAATTCCACAGTATATTTTCATCACACGTGAATAAATCAGTTTCTCTGACAACAAAACAATGGCCCACTCTGAAAACTCTTCCCAGCTGATGTCTGTGTGACTTGCAGCCACCACTTCACTGGACATTTTTGGCCAAAAGGACAAAACACTGTATAGATGCTCTGGAAACCTCAGCAGCACCTCCCAAAGCCCACAAGAGTAAATACCTGCATTTTTGCTCTAGTGACATTCTCTGATAACAGCAGAGAAATCTTCTTCAGCAAATCCACTATATCAGCTATGTTTCCTGGAATGGCTGGTGAAGACAGGATATCTGGGATGATGCACGAAAAATCAGCTTGGCAGCTCCTATTCCCATGGTCATCAGCACCAAAATGTTTTGGCCCATCTCCAGGCTTCCCATGCCCTGGCTTTCCTCCTGCTACAAAAGGAAGATGTTCTCCAGCAACATGTCCTCCAGAGCATGGAAGGAGTCCACTTTCAGATATCCTCTGGAGGGAGGAAAACACATTTGAGACAATTAATGAACAGAATGAAAATGAAGCTTCAGTTACAACCAGGTAAGAGGTCTGGTGCTGGGTGTGCAGGGAATGTGCCAGATGGACTGAAACCCAGAAGCAAAGCTCACCTGAGAAAACATTGTACTGGTACAACACACAAGAAAAGAGGGGCAAGAACTAAATGTAGTGCCTTATTCTTGAAGTGATTTAAGTTTTATTTTGTCCTTGAGGAGAATTTACCATGAATGATCTGATCATTACAGATACCGCTATTGCTCTTTTCTCAGGTTCATCCTGATGTATCCTTGTCTTGGTTGAGATCCACATGAGGAACATCGACAAACTGAACAAGGCAACTTTGTTTCTGAATTATGTTTCCACACACGCATTTCCCAAGTTTATTTCCTTTCACTTGATTTAAGATGGTGAAAGGACAAAAGTACAAGTCTGATGAGGAGCAGCTGAGGGAGCTGGGAATATTTAGCCTGGAGAAAAGGAGGCTCAGGGGTGACTTTACTGCACTCTACAACTACCTGAAAGGAGGTTGTAGCGTGGTGGGGGTTGGTCTCTTCTCCCAAGTAACAAGCGACAGGACAAGAGGAAATGGCCTCGAGTTGCACCACGGCAGGTGTAAATTGAATATTAGAAAAAATTTCTTCACTGAAAGGGTGGTCAGGCATTGGAACAAACTGCCTAGGAAAGTGGTGAAATCACAATCCCTGGAAGTGTTCAAAAAACATGTGGATGTGGCACCTGGGACATGGTTTAGTCATAAACACAGTATTAATGAATTGTTATGAGTTAATGATTGGACTTGATGATCTTAGAGGTCTTTTCCAACATAAATGATTCTGTGATTCCATGAAGTCAAAGCTTTGCTCAAGATTTAGAGGGTATGGAGGGACAGGGTGTCTTTGCAAATTATGAGCATAGGCCAAAGAAGGTGCATAACAGTTAACTCGCCTGAAAAAGGGACTGAACATCCAAGTTTGCACAAGCATCAGACAACATTTGCCACTTTCTGTCTTCACAGACGAAGCTTGTCTCCCCATGGAAGGAGGGAGAACAAGGCTGAATACAAATAGCTCCATTGTCTTGGCAGGGAATGACATTTATACAGGCATCTGAAAAATAAATCAAGCAGATATTGTTATAAGGTGCAAGACCTCATGGTCCTCATGGTCCATGAGGTGAGTATCGGTGGTGTAAAGTATTGATAACTGATAACAACTCACAAAGAATTAAACAAGATACATAGTTATTCACTGTACCTTGCTCATTACCAGTCTTTGATTCCCTACCGAGAACCTGAAAAATAAGAAGTAGAATATATGTTGAATATTTAAATAAATAACTAAAGGATGATTCCTTGGCACAAACCAGAAAGAGGGGAAATAGTCCTTTTGAGTCCAGAATGCAGAGCTCATGCCCCCTTGCTCATACAGACCAATTCAGAACTCACTACTTAGAGTTTGTCTCTCTAGATGAAACCTTCAGTTGGACCCTTCTACTGAAATGACACACCGAGGATCACACAACTCCAGCAGTTATTCCTTAGTCAAAAAGCCTCTGTTAGGCTCCAGTATTTCTCATGTTGATGAGAATACATGAATTTCTGATGTGATCTATATGACTTTTGCCATAAGACAGTGCTACAGTTGTACAAATACCATTATCTGCTTTGCTCCCCTCCGGACTGGGAAGCAGCCCCGAGGTCTGTGTGTAGAGCTCCTGCAGGCAGGAACACCTGCTGGAACTGTGTGTTGTACAGCCTGACACAATCCAAAACAGCTTCCATCGTTGCTTGGGCCATCATCTACAACCAGTCAAACCTTCCAAAACCTGAAGGGGGCTACAAGGCTGGAGAGGCACTTCTTACAAGGGGAGAGTGACAGAACAAGGGGGAATGGCACTAAAATGACAGAGGGCAGGTTTGGATTAGGTATCAGGAAGAAATTCTTTACTGTGAGGGTGGTGAGGCACTGGCACAGGTTGCCCAGAGAAGCTGTGGCTGTCCCATCCCTGGAAGTGTTCAAGGTTAGGATTCATGAGGCTTTGAGCAACCTGGTTCTCGCAAGCTGAATAGCAGGTTTTTAGCACTCCAGGAGTTGTGCTGGAGGTTCACTGGCATCTGGCATACTGAACATACTGAATACTTCAAAGTATTTTCTCCTATAGCAACAGGACAAGGGGTAATGGTTTTAAACTGAAAGAGGGTAGATTTAGACCAGATGAGGAAGAAATTATGATGAGGGTGGTTGCTCAGAGAAGCCGTGGTTGCCCCATCCCTAAAAGTGTTCAAGGTCAGGTGGGATGGGGATTTCAGCAACCTGGTCTAGTGGAACTCACCCTGAGAGCACTGTGTGGTGTGGCCAGGAAGAAGTGCACAGCCCAAAGGAGCAGGAAGCAGACCACCCTCACATCCATTGCTGAGCATTTGCTGCTTTCCTCCTGGAAGAAACATGTTAAAGAACTTTAGACACCATTGTTTCCACTTTTTGAACACAGTCTGAAAGCAGATAAACCTATGACAAAGACTGTCCTTAATGGGCTTGCAAGGTGGATTTGGGGCATTCATAATTTATTACCTTTACTGAGAATGATTTGTGAGCCCTTTCTTGAAAAAAAAGAAAAAAAAGACATAAAATCTGTCCAACACTGAAAGTTACTGCATTAATAATTTACTGTAAACCGAGAGCTGAAGAGCTTATTAAAGCAGTTCAGCCTGTGGGTCCCTTTAGAAGTGATTTAAGACAGCCTTGCCTCCACTCCGACACTGCTGCTCTCCTTGGGCAGTTCCTGAGGAGCCCCATCATGAGGTAAGAAACTTGGGCACTCAGGCCTTGGATATCAAAAACTAATAAACAAGGACTAGACCAAGTAAAGAGTTATTTCCTTTGCAGGTGGATTCAGACCTCTGCTCCCTCCATGAAGCTTCCTGTGGTCCTTGATAGAAGCTAAACATCCTGGGGTGCAACTTGCTACAGGCATATTTGTTGGAGGAAAATAATTCAGTAAAAGAAATTAAGGAAAAACAATGTTTTAGATCAAACCTGATTATTACATGCTTTACATGTCCAAGGCAAAAGCAACAGCTGCTCTGCATTCAAAAGAATTGAGACACTGATCTTCTATCACTGGATGTATAAGTAGATTAGGTCATTTACTAAAAAATAAAAAACATAAAACCAGTGAGCAAAACCACTAAAGCATAAAACAAATGCTCAGCTGCAAAGCAGGATGATTACTAGATTTCAGGAGATGGCAACAAGAAAAAGCTCATCAAACCACCATGCCTTGATAGGACCCACTCAATTTTCCCCCGACACATACTGATCAGCACAGATGATGTAAATCAGAAGCACAAAGGGTCCTGTACTGATGGAGCAGAAATGTGTTCTCCCATCCAGGAGACTCCAAGCTCTCACCATCTGACAGCATCAAAGGCCCAGGCACACAGCTGGCTGCTCCTTTCATTTGTGACATTTGTTCACACCTTTCTATGCTTTTAGGTCTGTGGGTTTATTACTTAACTGTGAAATAATCATAAATGTAGAGCTTGATGCACTGAATTTCTAAGCTAGCTCTAAAGGAGAGCCTTTTGACAGCCTCTTGAATTCAACTGCTAACTGGAAAAGCATTTTCTGGGTTAAAAGCTACAAGCCATTAGCTCTTGTAAGGAAATAAAATGGATATGGAGAAGTGAACCAAAATACTTGGATCAATATTGCCAAAGAAGGGGAGGCGGCTGGGAAACACCCACAGGTCTGAGGCAAAAGGTTGTATCAAATTCTTTCCTGATTTCTGCAGTCATTAATGTTGATTGTATGCTCATAGCCCTAATTCCATTTCACAGCTACAATCCTTGAGCTCATCATGTCTCACCATTAATTAATTCACATTCATTTTGTATTTAATCACTAATGGATCTCCACCCAGGGCTGTTACCTTTGAGTGAGGCAGAAATCTGGGACACCTCCAGGTATCTCAGGCTCACAGAGATACTGGCCCATGTTGCCAGTGAAACACTGATCTTGCTCAGCTGCATTGCTTGACTCATCATGGAAACCTCCCAGTCTCACCAATGCAAGAATCTGCCAAGGAAACCACTGTGCAGCAACAGAAGCTTGGAGCAAAACAAGTAATACAGCAGCAAGACACTGCCACTTTAGGAAAAAACAGGGATGTAGTGACACAGGGCCACATGAAAGCATATACAGATAGTCCTCTTCCTCCAAAGCATCCAATTATGGAACTTCAGACAGAGGATAATTTATCTCTTCTCATAAACTATCTACTCCCATTGATGCCTGACTTTTTAAGCAGTAAACATGTTAATTCTCTCTTCCAGAGGATTCTGTTTTGTCAGGACACAGGTACACGAGCAGCTGAGTTGTCAATACTCTCTCACATGAAAAGGATTTTCTAGTGAGAAGACACTTCCACACCCACAGGTTTCTCCCACCCAGCTCAGGAGACCGTCACCAGCTGCTGATCCTCCTTCTCCAGGTCATTTCAAAGCCCTCAACAGAAGGGAAAGAGCAAAGAGTGAGTGGATGGACAGTGGTTACAAGAGAGCAAAGAGCCTCTTAAAACAGTAAAAAGAAAGGTAAACTGATCATGTATTTAAAAAGTAATCCATATGCTGGTTAATGCATCATAGCCTCAAATTCAAATCCCTTACTCTGTCACTCTTGTTGGCTTAAAACTGAAGTATTTTATAAAATCCTACAAAACTATCCTCCTTGACTCTACTCCAAGCATGTTCTTGTTTTTAACTTCTGGCAGGATGCATTGCATGGCAGTCTGGCCCCACATGGGCACAGCTACCAGAGGGCTCTGCCCAAGCAGTGACAAGTGTGGCAGCTACACCCCCACACTGGTGGACCCAGGGTCTCTGGTTAAAGGGTTCTCCATCACCTGGAGTCACCTCTCTTCCCTCTCCACATGACAAACTATAATTAAGTTTACAGGGAAAGTTACAAACTCATGTTGTACAAAATTAAAATTTATAGTGACCTTGCCATAATTAGCTGGACAAATATATTTTCCCAAACAGTACAAACTTGCACTGTGTGTATTTAACATTTAATAAAAATACTAAATCCATTGTTACGGAACCTAATCTATTAGTTTTAGGGCTTGAATGGCCATGATCACTTGCCACTGCTACCATGCAATTTGAGGCTGCAGCAGGAGACTTTGGAGTGTTCAGCATGCTCATCCAAGCGTAAAAAGTAAAGTTCTTAATTCTCCCAGGATGGTATTAGTTGTATTTTAAAAGGAATCACACTTAAAAAAATTAAATGAAGCAAGTTCTGAGAAGAGTTATAGTTAACTTTAGCCATAAGAATACTCCACATTTTCTTAAAAGTTACAGCACCGTGATTAGAGACCAATTACAAAACTTCAAGAAAAAAAAATCAGAGGTTAATTATTTCCAAAGATGCAAAGAGAATGTAAAACAGATGAAGTAATTGCAAAGTAAATACAGCCACAGCAATTAAATGCATTTTAGATTATGAATGAACCAATTTCACAGACCACTGATAATTCCCAAGCAGTTCTGAAATAGTGAAGTTTTGTGACAGTACTCACCGTTTTCAGAAGTCTGGGTTCTACATTAAGCAAAGTTAACCCAGCCAGAGATCATCAAGGTATCAGAGATGATTGTCTAACCATTCATCTGCTGCCATCGTGCCCCAGTCTCACTCTCACAGCCTTACCCAGTGCTCCCTGGGAGCTCTGATTCAGTTGGAGTTTTCCCATGAAGAAATAACCTTGGGCACCAGCTGCTTCTTGTCTTGCCTGACTGGATTAATGTTAAGGAATCTGCAGATGACAATGAAGGTATTGCACTGCAAAATGACAAAACAAGTTACAAACACACCCACAGAACTGCCAGATTGCCACCTTTGCCAGGAGTCCACACTGATGAATCACACCCGCGTGGTTGGTACCCTTCCTCCTGGTGGAGGAGGCAGCTTCTGCTCTTCTGTATTTCACAGAACTGCAGAATGGTTTGGGTCAGAAGGGACCTTAAGGATCACCCAGTTCCAACTCCTCTGCCATGGGCAGGGACACCTTCCACTAGACCAGGTTGTTCAGAGCCCCATCCAACCTGGCCTTGGACACTTCCAGGAATGAGGCATTCACAACTTCTCTGAGCAAGACTTCTTAACACCCCAAAACAAAATCCTATCAAGTTAATGCATCACCCTTTATAAATCCAAGATGACACTGCTGACGGGAGCACAGCTAAAAAGCTCAGTGAGCAAGTAATAACCTTTTCTTTAGGGACACCTGATTGTAAGGGGTGACAATTGTCTGATGAACCTCATGCCATGGCCACTGCTGGTTCTCCTAAATATCACCTCACCTCCAACAGCCAGATTCCCAACAGCCAGTAACATACAGCAAATAGTTTATTGTAACAGATGAGAAATTCCTAAAGCTCTTCCTACTAACAAGGCTGCTTTCAAAGAGCTTTAGTCACTACATTTTTCCACATCCTTGCAATATGTTTACAGGGTTTCCTGAGATACTGTCATTTTGTCTGCTACCACAAATCCAAACATTCCTCAGCCACAGGAAAGTCTCCAATTTAGCTGAAAAGTAGGTATTATTTACTGTTCTGTTTTGATACAGCCAGTCTCACATCTCACATCAGCACTAAGTAGGAATTTAGCCAAGCACAATCATACACAGCCAACACAACCCACCTGGGAAGGTTAAATTACTTGTACCTGATACAACAGAGGTAGAGATGAATTTAAAAAAATACCTCTAAGTAAGAAGGGCCAAAACCCAATCATGTTGAAGTATGGACACCTGTTTTAAAAGGCTTCTTGCCCATGTCACCTGGAGCTGTGCTTCTACATACCCTCTGAACCCTTATGATGTCAAAACTGAATGCTCCTTGATTGTCAAACATCTCCTCAACCTCAGCAAGAGTCCTCTGAAGGACACGAAGACCAGCATCCTGCAACAGACAGACACAAACCTGCTTCTCCCAGGAGGAATAACTGAATTTGTGCTCCCGGGGGGCTTGGAAAAAGACTGAAACCATGACTTCCAGCAAGGGGGGCACTCCAAACCCTAAACCAGCAGTATCAGTCTAAGGCTTTACAAGCTGGTCGGGGTTGTTTGCATTCCTCAGGCTGGGAGGTGTGTGCCCAGACACCCAAAGGGAGTGGTTTGTCTTCTCAGCTCTTGCAAAATCCAATTACTCAAGATCTATGATCAGCTGCCACAATGCTGTGCTGTTTGATTTCTCGGAGATCAGAAACATCTCAGATAACTTTAACAGCAGCCAAAAGGCAGCTGTGAAAACCTGTTTTTACCATCCCTTTGAAAAGAGTTAACAGACTTCTGAAAATTTATGACTTTAATGAATACAAGGTATTTATTTAAAAGTTCAACAGATACTTTGCTACACAACTCAAAGTCGAACC